CTAGGATGTCTGGGTCCCACCCTCACACACCTCTTTGGACTCCCTCAGCCCCAACTGCCCAGGTTGGACCCCCCCACCGCAGACTGAGGAGCTCCCAAGGCAGGCAGGCTGGGACCCCAGGGAGGCCGGAGCAGACCCTAGCTTGGTCAAAGGAGGGACTTTCTTCTGGGTAGGTGGTGAGCTCCCCGTCACTGGAGGCATGCAAGCCCTAGTGACCGCACCTTCCACATACTCCATGACCATACACAAGTGGCGACGGGTCTCGAAGGAGCAGAACATGCTGACCACAAACGGGTTCTCGGCAAAGGTGAGGATGTCACGCTCCACAAAGACCTGCTGGATCTGGTTGCGCAGAATCAGGTTCTGCTTGTTGATCTTCTTGATGGCAAAGCGCTGCCGTGTGTCTCGGTGCCGCACCAGGTAGACAGCCCTGGGGGAGCCGGGTTCGCCGAGGCCTGAGACCGAGGCCCGGGCAGGCAACGGGCCCCGACCTGGGCCCAGAACCCAACCTGCCAGGCCTCTGCCCGCGCTGCGCCCTACAGCCGGGACACCCTTTCTCCTTACCTGGCCCCTCTCCAAAAGCAGCCACCCTACGGGTTTAAGCTGCCTTTCTTGGTGTCACATCGATATGACAGAGATGGCCCTTGGCTTATGTCTTCACAGCAGACTGAGACCCCTGCAGTCAAAAGCCCCCTGGCACCAAACTCAAAGTGCTTTAAATAGGGCCCAAATAAGCAGATTTTTAACCGTTGAGAGCTTGCCAGCTTTGCATCCGTAGTGAAACGATACCAAATTTACTAGCCATCCGTAAGGTGAACCCTGGGGCTAAAAAGACCCCAAGCCACTGCTCTCTCTTGGAGCTCCCTGACCCAGACTCCTGGCAGTGCTGCTGAGCCACATCACCTAGACGCAGAAGCCCCTTCTGGATAGTCTTATCCTGTGAAGGACTCCCCCTCCCACCCCAGCCCCATGCGGACCTGTCAAAGTGGCACCAAAATAACGCTCACTGCTCACTACCGCCACCACGGGGCCATCTTTATCCTTGTATACCTAGAACTCCCTACACCTGGGGCAGGTAATGGCCTAGACCTTGGCGGAGCCTGTCTGAGACCCTGGCCTGGCTGTACTGTGTCTCTACTGCCCTCTTCAGGCCTCAGCTTCCCGGACTGCACATTCAGGGGCCGCTGGACTTCAGGCATCCCCGTGGGCGGCTGAGAAATCAGTCCATGGGGGACCCGAGGACTTACCCATAGGCCCCGTTGCTAATGAGTTTGATGGTCTCGAAGTCATTCTCACACGGCTTCCTCCGCGATGGGCCGACCAGGGCACGGCTCTAGGGGGCAAAGAAGGGTCAGGGTCCTGCCCCACCTCAGAGCAGGCCGGGCTCTTCCTGCCTTCAAGTCCCAGCCACTGGTCCCGACATCTGATGCTACTTTCTCCTTCTAGACTTCTCAAACTCAGCTTCTGAGTTTCTGAGCTTTGGCTGGAGCCACGTCCTCCTTCCAGAAAACTCCTAGACATCTTCCAAAACGCCCCTTTCCAGTATCCCCTCCAGCCTTGCCCTGTCCAATCGCCAGGGCAGGGCACTCGCCTCTACCTTCTCCCTCAAGTCACAGGCATTTACTAAGCAGCTACTACATGCAACACATCCGCACACCCAGCCCCTCCCACGGCTGCCTGATCTACCTTGAAAAGAACCCGACAGGTGGGGGCGTCAAAGCTCTGTGACTTACCTCCGGGGACTCAGGTGCTGGAGGCTGTCCTCCCTCTTCAAGGTGACTCAGAGGCACCATTTCTGTGAGACAAGGGAGGAGCCTCAAATGATGCCTCCGTGCCTGTGCCTCGATCGCCCAGAGATTTCCCAAGGCCTCCAGGGCTCATCCTGGGGACGCAGTGCCTCCCTGACCGGCTCCCAAGATACCATCATTGCATCATCGAGCCCCTACTACGTCCAGACCTTGGCCAAACCCAGGCCAGAGTAAGCAACGACTGAGGAAGCCCAGCCTCTGAATGGCACAGCCATCATCCTGGCTCCGAGCCTTGGGCCTGTTAACGCAGGCCGTGACATGGGCCCTCTGGGTCTTGGCTCCTAACATCCTCCTCAGCTGAGGGTGTGGCCCAGAGGGAGCCCCCCACCCACGCCGTTTTCTGGCCCTAGGGCTTTGGCAGAGGGGCGGCCCCGAGTGAGCGGCTGGTGCACATGAGCCGTGATGATGGCACTGAACCATGACAGTGTCTCACGGTCACAGAGCAAGGCTGGGATGGGACAATGGGGTCTCACGGGTGAGGGAGGTCTGGGTTTGAATACAGCCTCTTTTACTCAGTAGGTTCCCCGCCGGGGACACTGGATAGATGACCTGCCCCACAGTCTCAGCTGCCAACTGCCCGGCCACTTTCTGCTTCCTCTGACCCCGGGGCCACCCACGGCATCACCTGCCTTCATTGGACAGCCAGGCACAGCCGGGGCCACACAGCCAGTCGACAAGCGGTCTGGCCTGGGGCCCGCCGAGGTCTGAATCCCTGCTCGACCTCATCTGCCTGGAGCCTCAGCCTTAAACGGGGACAATGGCAGCCCAGTCCCAGGGTTAACAGAGCAGTGATGCTGGGCAGACGCCAGCCACTGTGGCAAAGCCCTGCTGACCCCACCACCCTCTCCCAGCTTTGCTTCTTCCTCAGCTCCAGTCGCTTCCCCCCTCACTGTTCTTCCCGCACACCTCAGGGCCTTTGCTTTCACCCTCCCCCGCCGCCCGGTTCACCCCCTCTCTTCCCCAGATCTGTACCTGGTCACCTCTCCATCCGCCAGGACTCGCTTACACATCAACCTTTCCCCAGAGCCTCCCATGGCCGCACCTGGACCAGGTCAGGTCCAAGTTCGACGCTCCCCGGGTCCCACGTCTCAGTTCTCCTGACTCTGCTGTCTGGGGGGGAGTTCTTGACCAGCTTGGTCAAGCCCACGGGTTGGTTGTCCTGTCCGACTCTAAGTCCGTCTCCTGGGCCACGGTCAGATGATGAAATCAGGAAAGTACTTTGGGGACTCGTGGGAAGAGTGGTGGCTCCTCTTGGAGCCACCCCTTGGCAGGTCAGAGGTCCCACTTACAGCTGGCTGACCCAGGAACCCCAGGCACTTTCCCACAGTGGGCCCCACAGGTGGCTGAGGGCAGAGCCACAGAGAGACGAAGGACATCATGGCAGCTGCGGAGTTGACGGCTCTGGGTTCGAATCACAGCTCTGCCCCGGCCTCTCCTTGGTTTTCTCTTTCCACCCTACTCCCGTCAGCTTACCCTCGAGGGGGTCCTTAGCCAGGCCCAGCTGCCCAATGATGTACTGAGGCAGGTCCGTCTTGATGCCCTGGCCCTCTCGGGCCTGGCCCTCGGCAGCCTCCAGCAGGTGGTAAAACTCCTCAGGGTCAAACTCCTGGGGGTGGCAGAGGGGCTGGTAAGGCGGGGCTTGTGCCCACCTCCAGGCCTTGGCCCGTGCCGTGCCCTCCGTCTGAAGCAGCTTCACTATCGGTGGCTCCAACTCTCCCCTCCAGATCTCAGCTCCTGACACTTCCCTGGGGAAAAGAGCCCAGCCCAGCCGGGAGGCACCCCGTGCTCCTCTCCAAACTCCACCCGATGGGCATGTCTCTTGTATCTCAGCAGGACGGTTCTAGCGGCCTAGTCTCAACCGCTGGGCCCCACACCTGGCTGGGTGCAGAGACTCACCAGGCACTCGAGGAGCCTCGCCGGCCTCGAGATGATGATGAGCAGCTTCCGGACAAGCTGGACAATGAAGCCGACCTCCTCACTGTCCGAGCGCTCGTGGGCCTAGGGAGAGGCGGGTGATGGCGTCGCCTGCAGGCCCTTGGCCCTGCCCTCCCCAGGGACCCCTACACCCACCACCCCCCCCCCCCAACGCACATCTTGTAGCAGCCTCTCCAGCTTCTCCTGCATCTCCATGAAGTAGCGGGAGGTGACGAGGGCCTCTCCAGACTTGGCCAGGCAGTCGCGGGCCAGCTCAATGATCTGGTGGTGGATGAAGCCCAGGACGCCATCGGCCAGGGCCAGCCGGGCGCCGGGTGCAAAAGCAGCAAGGAATTCTTCCAGGCGGCCTTCCATCTGTGCCGTGGCCTGGCAGGTGGGCGGATGGACAACCCATTACTGGACGGGCTGGGGGGCAATCTACAGGGGTAAAGGAACAGGCAGTTGTGGGGGAGAATGTGATGATGGGGACGACGGGGCCAGAGAACTGGGGGGGGAAGAAGCAATATGCCTGGGTTGGAGGGGGGCGCTTTGAGACAGAGAGATAGGGACAGACAGAAATGGAGAGATGGGGGGGGATACAGCCAAGAAGACAGGGTGCCAAGGAGGGACAACAACATGGAGGGGAGTTAGGGCCGGTGCAGCCACCGGGCGCTGCCCACCTTGGGGAACCTCTCCCGGTACACATGATTCATCATGACGATTTCATTGTCGAAGTTCCCTGTTGTGCGTCCCGGGCTGAAGGGGAAGGGGCAGGCGGGGGACAGTCAGCTTGTGACGTGGGACCAGAAATCCAGTCCAGGGGAGGGTCGAGGATCAGAGGCCAGGCTCGGACAGGGTCAGGGCCAGAGGTGGAGGAGGGGCCACAATGTGGGCCCCAAAGGCAGCCCGGGGAGGGGCTGAGGTTAGAGGTCGAGGCCCACCTGAGGCTGCGGGAACGGGGACGAAGGTGGGGTGAGCGGTGGCCGCCCTCCTCGTCAGCCACGCTCTCTGAGCTGCGGAAATGCTTGGACAGGAAGCATAGTTCATCCGGTGTCGGCTGGAAAGGAAGCTGGTGGAGGCGCTCCCGGGAGGATGAGCTCGACTGGCAGGAGGGGGTATCAGGGCCACGAGTTCACAGTCAGCGCCAAAGCCAGAACCCCAGCATTACCCCTCAAGGCCTAGGCTGCCTGCTGGTCATTAGATGTTAACACTCTCCTGCCTGACTTCTACGCATCCTTCAAAACCCCAGCTCTGATGCCCCCTTCTCCAGCAAGCCTCGCCGCCTGCTCCTTAAGCAACCCTAAGACTCCCTCTGGCCAGGCCCTAACCCCACAGGATGGGGATGTCTGTGTCCTCCAGAACGGGGACTCCTTGGGACCGAGGCTGGGTCCTTTCAGGGACCCATACGTTGCCCGGAATGGGGCACAGAGGGGGCAGCCAGGATGTTTGTTGACTGGACAACTATCCAACACCTTGATAAAAACCAAAGACGTGTCCCGCCCCACCTCGCACCCGCCTGTCTGCTGGCCAAGGTGGGACTGTGGGTACCGAGACGGTGGAGCTGGGTGTGTTGGTTCCATAGCCAGAAGATGGGAGAGATGCAAGGGACCATCTTCTGCCGTCAGCCCTAGAGGGGAGAACCAGAAGAGTTGGAAAGAAGGCATGGCCCCTGTGGTTTGTGGGGACTAAGGACGGAGACCGTGGCTGGCAGGTGCTGGCCCTGTTGGAGGAAGGATCTTCTGAAAAGGCGGAGAACAGAGGTTCAAGGTGAACGAATCCACTGTGTGTTTTCTCCTTGTCCTTCTGACACCTCCTCCAGGAAGCCCTCCCTGACCCAGCTGCCAGCGCCTCCCACATCGAAGCTCTGACCTCTGTGAGTTGCAGTTGCTGGGATACATGCCAGTCACCCCCTTGAGACTGAGGACTCCCCGAGGGTCGAAGTCCAGCCTCCCCCTTCCTCGGCCCCCGGCACAGGGTACGGCATGTAACGGGTGCTTGATAAATGTTAATGAGTGAATGAGTAACGTTTAAATGCTTGCTCCAACGTCAACTCTAAGTAAATTAATGATTTTTAGTGAATTAGTGATTTTAGCCTGGATGGTGTGCCCTCCTCCTCCCCAAGGGCTCCCTGAAATTACCTGTCCGTGCGCGGGACGTGGCTGCAGAAGGCCGCGCGTTTGCCGGGGGCAGAAGCCAGGGGGAGAGACCGTCACAGGGCAGGGGACAGGGGAGGGGAAAGAGCGAATGAAGAGGCAGGGCCAACCACCAAGAGCATGCTGCTGCCCGTCCCCTCACCAGTTGTGCTGAGGTCATCCCTCAAAGCCAGTGACGACTCACCTTCGGGCAAAGGGGAAGTTCACGGCCGACGCAGCGGAGAAGTTCCGAGGGCTATCCAGGGGGCTGTTGCCTGCTGAGGAAGAAGCAGGCAGGGGAAACTGAGGCGGGGGGGGGGGCA